ATAAAATATAAATGCAAGACAATAAGCAGTATCTAGGGCAAACTATCAAAGCAGCAGTGAGATATGTACTTGGTTGTATTTGTGGCTAGAGGTACCAGCCAACGGAGGGTCTTCTCCATTTCAGCTTTTACTTGAGATACTGAAAGCTGGAGGAAACAATAACACGAAGCAATCACACAGTAATAGTAATACCACTAATGCACGTCCTACACAAAATATCCTAGAGGAAAGAATACTTCTCCTCAGTGCAGTGAAAGAAAAGAAAACTTATATGAAAAATTCGACTAGTACTCCATACCTCTTCCTTGACATCAAGAGTTTGTAACTGAGACCGTAAAGCTGACTTAACATTAATTGGCAATCCCTGATATAATGTGTCCCTCATGTTCGGGGGAAGAGATGTAGGACGAGATGCCTAACAAAATATTTTTTTATTAGAAATCAAGTCCATGTATAAAAATTGGCCTAAAAGAAAGAAGTGGAAACAGAAGACTTCAACTCACGATGTTATCGATCTGGTTGATTATATTTGCATAATGTAATGCAAGACCAGCTATACCTAATCTTTCCCGACTTTTGCTGGGTTGTTTGCTTACCGGTGCCAAACCTGCCATCATGAACTGACATCTCCATAAGAACGAAAGATTATTCACCAGAAACACATTTCAGAACTAACAATATCCAAGCAAGACATCCCCATAACATTGAGTTTATATGCCCAGAACAATAACAGAAGAAATTTGCAAAGGATGCCAAGTTTGATGCTTGGACATTCATAACTGGAGTAAGAGGTGTCTATGATACCAAACCCAAGAGAAGAATATTTAGTGTTAAGCAATATTGACCATTAAACATTGTAGGCAAAGGCTGCAAGAGAAAGTCTTATTTCACTGTAAGTGCATAACAAATATTTTGCATAAGAAAAAAACACAATTTGTTGCAAACAAAATCTGTCAAGTTTGACTCTTGACAGACTCTAGTTTCATCCCTAAGCAGAATTTTCTTTTACGACGGAAGTTCCAATTTCAAGCTGTAGAAGTAGCACAAGTAATCACATGAAGTTGGCAGATGATGAGTTCCCCAAAACCTCGCATTTTTCAATAGCCTCATGAAGTAACAGTTATAAAACTGGGAAAGCAACTTCAAGTACCATGGAACTTCAGATCAGAGGATTGGAAAGGAACTAAATATTGTAAGCTGAATTTGTATGTACTAAGATTCAACAAGGGAGCATAAGTAAAGCTCATATTTAACAATTTCATTAGGTTGCTGATTCCCTGAAAATTCATACCGTTATTTCCAAATGCTTCCGTGATTGCTTGATGTATATAGATAACTATATCAACAAGCTTCTCCATGATCTGCAATGAACAAAATATGTCTAAGAAAGAGTTTAATTTGACTTCATAACAAAAGAAACTCCACTTTGTATTTGTCGAAGAATTCATAAAATGTAGAAGCTCCTCTAGAACAAATACGTCAAAAGATATTCCTCATATAAGTGAATTAACAAGGCGTCCCTCCAGCAACAGATTCCCATTATCAGCTTTTCACCTTTTGGAAATTACAACAAATAGCTATAATCTTGTACCTCCTCCAAGTTTTTAGACCAAAGAGACTTCTTCTTCAAGCTTCTTACAAGCTTTCTTTGTTGTTTCAGCTCACTTTGTAAAATCATGAGACTGTCTCCTACATTTTGAAGAAGATTAGATGTTAGAAGAAATAATTTACCAACATGGTCAGCGGGCATGCAACAGGAAATATATACATCAAATCTAAATGTTAATAACCATAATGACCATCTAGAAACAATTTGCAAGGTCGGCAATAATTGGGAAAAGACTAGCTGCAAGAATGAATACAGATTCGGTGGAAATTTTTGAAAGACGAGGACGGGCAAACATGCCAATTAACTGTTAAAAAAAGAATGTGGAAAAGAAAAAAGCAAATTGCCAATGGAGGTCCAAATATTCATATATGAAAAGTTTAAGGTGAGAGAAGAAGGTTATCCATCTAACCTCTCCGGGGACGATGTAAGTCATCCACTTCCTCACGTTTTCGCTGAAAGTCTTGTTCAAATCTGTCCAAAGCATGCAATTCATGATATAATTCCTGCACCAACAAAGAAGTCAGCTTCTTCTAGAAGCACAGCAGCATATGCGAACTGAAAAACAAAAGCCTTACAAGACCAAGGCGAGTTTTCATGATGTAGGACAAATTAGAATTAATTTGTCTACTTAGAAATTTGAGGATGAAAACCTAGACAGCACACCTAAGTTTTGTTAACAGTTAAGAAATTTTAAGCATCATACTTAAAGGTTAGGTTGTATCACAAAACCAAAAAATAAAGTAGCTCCAAAAGTGTTTTATTAAATAACTGAAGTTTGTCCAAAAAAGTGAATCTACAAAGATATTTATAATGTTCCTGAGTAATATTTCTTCAAGAAATACTAGTACAAATAGATAGGGAATAATACTATTAATAGAAATAGGAAAACTAAACACTAATAGAATAAAACCCCAAAATTACTAAAATTATAATAATAGATTTCTAAACAATACAATAATTTTATATTTAAAAGAACCATGATTTCTAATCTACTCAGACAATCTAAGCCAAACCCATTCTGCATCATTTTCCCTAATTGGAGAAAACGTGTCCACAAGTTTTGAAATGACAAATGATGTAAAATATTGAACTTTGAGCTTCACAATGAAAATTTAGTAAAATAACAGAAACAGAATTTTTCAGGAGTGTAAAATCCTGATGGTATGAGAGATCAACATATTGATCAATCGGTATCTCAAGTTTCTCCTTTGTCAGTAGCAGGCTTTTGTCAATTGACTCGATTGGAGGTGGGAATTGCATATCAGAGGTTGGTGTTAGAGAAAACTGTGCAGTCATAGGAGATCATGAAGAGACAGCAGTTATGGAGCTTGCATCGAGTGCTTTTTGGTAGATTTTTGTGGCAAGGCTTCTGGTGGTTCCTTATCAGGGAATTTTGAGGCTGGTGGTGGCAACTATTTTGATCACCTTCCACTGGTAACTGTGATCCAGGATGGCAGTAGGTAGAAAGAGTCAGGGTTTCTATATATTTCTTTTCCATATGAGCTTGGGGCTGTTTGGTTGTAAAGCTTTAAGATTTTGGCTTAGGATTCTTTTACCTCTGATACCAATTGATATGTATAGAACAAATTGTGGCTAATTTGCCTATTTAAGAATTTGTAATAAAAGTCTAGATATCACGCTTAGGATTGCTTAGACATCACATCTAAAAAGTATTAAACATTATATTTAGGGGTTTAATTGTATGACACAACCACAAAATAAAGAAATACTCAAAATATTTAATTGAATAACTAAAGCCTGCATCAAAAAATGAATTTACAACGATATTTATAAAACTTTCTAGGTAACCTTTCTTAAAGAATTAAAGAAATACTAATATTAACACAATTAGGAAATAATACTAGTAATACAAATAGAAACATTAACTACCAACAAGAATAAGACATCAAAAATATAGTTACAGTTAAAATGGTGATAAACTTACTGAAGTATGCTGAGCAAGGGTAGCTAACTCCTGCATTGTTGCTTCTGCATCAGCTCTGGGTTGGCGACTGTCTGAAAACTCTGAATCTATCCTGAAATATAACAATTTGGAGAAGAAATTGAACTCCCACTCGGTGAATAATTGCAGTATATCAACTCACAATTCATCATAAAAGGGCTACCTTACTTTGAAAAATATCGACAAAGGTTGTGCCATTGTGGATCTTTACATAAATTTCCAAACCTAATTACTTCATGTGAGAAGAGATCCCATTCATTCCTGCAAAAACATAATACTAAACTATGAAAAGTGCCGCAACTAAAATCAAAGATTTAATCAGAACAAAAAATAAGTCCAAATGCAAAGGAATTATATTTCAATAGTAAAAAACCTTTTGTCAGCTGCAGCAATACTCAACAACTCATTCATATCTGCAGAAACTAACTGTCTTACTCCCTCTGAGTGCAATATCTCTTTTCTCAAGAACTGAACATTTTCTTTTGAAAGAGATTGCAATAAGTTTGCCCCTTTTGCAATTGTATTAGCTACTTCAAATGACAATATAGATAGTTTGTTTCCTCTTGAAGCTATCCCTGTGACAAATCCACTCTTGGCGTTCAAATTTGTCATGCTACTTCCAAGTGTGTCTAAAACTTCCACAGCCCGTTCTAGACCCACAACGCCAGCTCTTCCAATAAATGAACTCTTCTGGGGAACCTGAGAAGAGAAATATACTGTGAGCCTACAATTTCTACATCAAGATAAATTAAAACTCTTAGAAACTATATTCTATAGAGAAAAAAGAAACCAGATTCAGGTCTACACATCTTTTTTCAAATTAAAGAAACATTTCCGGTTCTTAGAGAAAAGCTAGAACAATGCCAGGCTCAGATTGTCAGATATAGAATGCAAATTATGATCCCAAGAAACAGCATTGGTTAGTGGAAGGTGTTTGTTTCATAGTATCTGATGTTATCCAGTAGTTATTGGCAATGAAGAATATTTATTTCCTTCACGAAGAAAAATCCTTATAAAATAGATCTTTTTATACTTCTAATTCATGGATATGTGTTGATTTTTTTTTATTTGCACAAAGCTCTCCAATATTGTCACATGGTTTTCACAGATAATATCTCAGAGACTTGTTCAAGCTTCCAGACAGGGACTGTGTTTAACTCTGTCAATGAACCAAAATGCAAGATAGTTTTAGCTATAGCATTAACTGATGTCCATTTCCATCAACACCAGTCAAAATATATAGCCATGCCTATAGAAGAAGCCCAATACTTTGAGATCCAATCCATTGCTATTGTGGTTCATCAAGGAAATGACAGTAACAAACGAAGTTTATCAAGGAATGAAATTTGAAATAGTAAATCCAGCAGCAATAAATGAAGTTTGGTTGAGCAACCAATCGAAAGGAGGCTCACTTAGCAACTTCAGTTTATCAAGAAAGTTGAGACACAGAGGTCAGTGAAGCACTGACTTCAAACTTTTATTTTTCAGCAACACTGAGAGATGCCATGACTTGACATCTGTCACAAATCTGCTAAGTAAATTGGAACAAAAATCCTCTCTTCATCGTCCCTTCTTAGAACTGACTTTTCATAAGAATATGTTTACCCATCCAAAATAATCTCATCATTGATGTAAATTCAGGCTGCCGCTTACACTGTCTATAAATTTAATAATATTCATACCAAACCATAATTAGCATTCACAAAGAATCCCAACACGCACACTACCAAATGAACAAACCTTGTTGATCCTTGTCTTAATAGGTGTTGGCTTCAATTCTCTAGAAATGGATAATGGAAACTGATCATTTCCATAATCACTCTGATCCCTGTAGGAATAAGGACGAGAATTCTCCTTTTGCTTACTAAAGCTCTTTGTTGACTTAAGCTTCCCTGAAAACCCGGTAGTTTTCCCTCCAGCTTTCACGCTCTTCTTAGTTGCTCCACCAGAGCAAACCGCTCCCATTGTTTTTGCTTCACTTTATTCACAACATAAACCTGACAAAGAACTTCAAGAAAAAGAAAATGAAATTAACATAAAATCAGATTCTGGTTGGGAGATACTAAAAGGGGAAACCATGTTTTCCAGAACAATTAACATGACTACTAACCGAGTTATCATTTCATAAGGGAAAAACAACAAGAAACTTACGACTTGTAAATATCAAACATGGATAGAATTGAAAAAAAAATTAAAGAAATAGCAATTCGTTTCTTTCTACCTATGCTGCTCCGAATTTTAACCAACCAATCGATTCGAAGGGAAGAGTAGAGTAAAGATAGACAATATAATCCGCTAGGTATTCCGCGAACTTTAAAAGGAAAAAAAAACAGAATACAATAAATATACCTGGTTAAAGAGAAGCAAATCCACAAAAAGGCAAAGACGAGACTGAGCATACAGAAGAAGAAAAATGGCGGAGAGAGAGAAAAGAGAAGAATATATTTGGTTGAGTTGACCAAAGAAAGCAAGGATAGGAATGTAGGATTAGCTTAAGACCAAAAGCAGATATATTAAAATTAAAATTAAAGACGCGTTGTATGTTTCTGCAAGCAACGGAAATCTCGTGGGTAGTGGGTGGTTTTAAGCTTTGACTGCAGCATTCAATTCTCAATTTGCCGACTATCTCCTCTTCTCTTTTCTTCATCTGTAAATTTAATAAAGTTAAAAGAGAGGAAGCCATGGGGTCACAATTTCCCTTTTCGATTTTATCTCTACAAAATTTTTTACAGAAAAATTAAATGACAAAAACAGTATATATAAAATTTATCAATTGATATGTAAAAACTAGTTTACAAATTCCAGCCCGCAATATTGTCGGAGTGTTGTTTTCTTCAAACATAAGTCAATCGTCATCTTCTTCACCTCTGGAGGCTTCATTTTTACAGTTTTGCCACTTAAATAGACTTCCCCTTTCGAACTAAATATCTGAATATAACCAAATTAAGTTCAAAAAGGAAGTAAAGAAAAAACGTATTGGCATTGTTAAATTGAATGTCAAATCAATTGCGTTGCATTCAGTTTCAAATTCAAAGCTGAGTTGCCCCGTGTTTAGGTTTTGATATTTGTACAAATAGAATATACATATATATATATATAAACACATATATAAATATCATTCCACAAAAGTTTTTAATGGTGGAAGGAAGTTGAATTTGACTTTTCTTTATCCCTACCTGGTCAGAAACTCGAAATACAGAGTATTTTTTTAAAAAAAATTTCTAGTTTTCAGAATACATTGAGTTAGACGATCCTGAAAATCATAGAAAAACTCTAAACGAGAAAATTGATTGAATATAAAATTAAGAAATTGATTGAATATGAAATTGTGCACTCCTCTTACTGTATATGGTGTGTGTGTGTATATATATATACATAACAGGAAATTATATAAGATTTCAGAAAAATATCAAGGAATTAGTGATATTTCATAATCTGTGCCTTTGGACTATTATATAATATAGAATCAAGGCTATTAAGGCTAGATTATTATGTTTTGATAAAGATAAAGAATATTCCTGATATTAAAGAAAAAGTAAATTAGAGTGTTGAAATAAAAAATAGATCAGAAAATAAATTAGAGTGTTAGAAGAAAAAATACTTCAGAGTGTCAGAGAGAATCAATTAGGGTGTTAGAGACGAAACAAATCAAATTAAAGGATAAAATTACACAACAACCTCCGACTGTTGGCCGCCACAAGATCGGTCACCTCCACCACCAGCCTGAATTCATCAACCTTAGACGCAGCCATTGCTCCCGCCACGCTCTTCTTTGTCCAGTCGGGTGTCCAGTAGTTGTCCACAAGCATGCACGACTACACATAATCCTCTTGGTCGCCTTCGTCACAACCAGACGCGACTTGTAACTATGAATTGCTTGTGACCAAACACCGTCTCTCTTTCCCGACTAGACACTAACATCCATTTCTCTCTTTTATAGGATATGAGGTGGATGCTTACATGGTGTTGATATGGCGTTCATCTATGCTGATTTAAAAAATAATAATCTACATGCCTTGCCACTTTAGCGCCATGTTAAACAAACACTAACAATGTTAAGGCTTCATAATAATAAATAGATATTTCTTTGATAATCATTTAAAAGTTTAGGGTTAATATGAACTTTTTCTTGTTTGGATTATAGATTCTTTTATCTCTCCATGAATTTTTTCTTTCAAGGAGATTAATCAGATACTAATTAGTCAGTAACATTCGGATAAACGATATCAAGATATTAATTATAACAATTTCATCATTCTAGTAGCTTTAAGAAAAATCTTGAAGCTTCAAATCTTTAGGTTGTCTGAATATGAATTTCAAAATTCAACCACTTGTCTAATTATCCGGTGAGTGATAGAATAAGATCTAAGTTGTATTCAAATTCCACGTTACTCTGTAGAAGCAGAGCACGGACACAGGAAAGCAAAGACAATGCAAAGTTCAAATTTGAAATCAAGGCAATACAGCGAGAGCTCTAATGAGCTCGTAATAGGCCATTAAAAGTCGCGAATTCAAGAGAGTTGTCCACAATCAGCAATCACAACAGGCTTTGCTGTACGCCCGGAGGACGATCCGACGGCCTCAGCCGCCTTCACCACATTCATCCCTTCCACCACTCTCCCGAACACCACATGCTTCCCGTCCAGCCACGACGTCTTCTCCGTGCAGATGAAGAACTGCGATCCGTTCGTCCCCGGCCCAGCGTTCGCCATCGACAGGATCCCTGGCCCCGTGTGCTTTTTTATGAAGTTCTCATCCGCAAATTTTGCTCCGTATATGGATTCCCCTCCGGTCCCATTCCCTGCCGTGAAATCGCCCCCCTGGCACATGAACCCCGGGATCACTCTGTGAAATTTCGATCCCTTATAGTGAAGAGGCTTTCCGCTCCGCCCAATCCCCTTCTCTCCCGTGCACAGAGCCCTGAAGTTCTCTGCGGTTCGCGGCGTCGTATCCGCGAATAGCTCCATCACGATCCGACCCGCCGGTGTCCCGCCGATCGTCATATCAAAGTACACTTTTGGGTTCCCCATCTTCGCAAATCGGCTGCTTCCTTCCTCCTCGGTGAATGTGCGTGCGATGCCGCCTCCACCACCATTCTTTTATTTTATAAGGTTTTTTCGGCTGGAGTAATACTTTAGGGGTTCAATCGGGACCGTCGAAAATGACACGTGTCAAGAGCATCACCCGACAATGACTTTCTTTCAGCTGGAGATAATTATATTCTGCGTAATGTTCACGCAGTCGCAGTCATGGGTATGTGATATTTAATATTTTTGGATTATTTTATTTATTTATTTGATTTTGTTGGGCCTTAACTGGGCCTGTACGGACAAGTCACAACTGGGCTGCAGTCAGTTTTCGCGCCATAAAAAACATCAAAAATTTTAAAAACAGATGCAAGCATGTCCAAGAGGCATATTCGCGTTTTGGTCAACAGATTGGTTGGCTACTTAAAAGCCAAAAGCCAAAAGCCAACAACTTTTCAAACGTAATTGCTTATTATAAACTTTGAGTAATCGTCATTAACTCATCACTCAGCAACGCCAAAGCCGGCGACGTCGGCCGGCATTTCCTCTGACCAGGCTGAGACTGAGCTCAGTTATATTTGAAACTTATCACTATCTCTAATTCCAGTTTTCATCATTCTTCTTATGATTTGGCGCTCTACTGTTTCTCGTTAACACCGGACCCTGTTTTCTCTCCAATTTTCTTTTTCTTATTATTCTCTAAGAATCTCCTCTTCTTCCCCGATTTCACAGACCAGACGGCATTCACGAAAGCTCCTCGAACTCCTCTTCTTGCTGCTCTTCGGATTATTGGAAATCACGCAAAATGAGAGATCCTCTGCTTGTTCTGCGTTGATCATTTCTCCGATTGTGCGGAAGGTAATATTCCTAATCCATAGGTTTCATCCTCCTTTTTCTGCCTCTGTATTTTGGGTTCAAAAATGTCATGATGCCATCTGTTTGCGTTTTTCTTTGTCCTATGTTCATCTTTACCTTGTTATTTCATCACCATCAAATAACGTGATAATTCTTTCCATCTTCTCTTTATTGATGTTCTTTTGGGATTCGGGTTAATCAATGTGGATAGTGGGGAGTGCTTATTTTAGTGTTGGCCTTGGGTACATGAGGATATATAGACATATAAGCATGTATATGAATGTATTTATACGAAATATGTATAATGATATATGTATAATATGTGTAGAAAGGCATACTGATACGTGTTTGTGAAGGTAGCCTGGTCCATTTCCAGGCTTACCAGTACATATATATCGGTAAAATCGCTACTTATATTATATATACATGTACGAATCTGCCTAAGTATTTGTAGATGTACAAGCATATAAGTATCCGGCCATATATATATATATATATATATATATATATGTCTATATAAGCAGATGTGTATAGATCAGTATGTATATCTATTCTTATTAACCTAATTAATATACTGTTCGAACATAGATATGGTCATATATGTATTTTCTGTAATATAAATATATCTGTGTATCTACTTACTACATATCGATGCATAAACACATGTATGTATATATGTGTACCCATATAAATATGTGTAAGCTCGTGCACACTGGGGCCGATCTACTTGTTCTACTAACTGTTTTGAGTTCTTTTGTCTTCATATTCTGCTTTGAAATGAACTTTTTTCTTTAGAATTTATACAAACATACATGACACGACTTGCCATGCTCATAGAGACGGCATGAACAGATTTCAGGCATAGGATTCATGTTCTTGTTTGATTGCATACTGTGCATGTTTATCCCATATCCTCATCAGTTGTTACTTGATGGACCTAGAACTAATGGGGATCGGTCTGTGTATTTCATGATCTGATTTGGGTTGTTCTTGGCCGATATCACTGTTTCTTTTTCCTTTATCCTTTTTGATAAATTTGGATTTGAGGTTGATAGCTTTCCAACATAAAAACCCTTTTTTTATTACCTACTGTTTTGATTTAGTTGTATCTTTTGAGAAATTGCCCAACATTAATTGTTTACTGAGCCAATTCGAGATGGAGTTAGCCTCTTGTTTGAGTTTCATTAAAAGAATTCATATAAATCAAGTTCCCCTGCATTTCAAACAGAATTTCCCCCTCCATTTTGTACTCTTGTTGTCCATTTAGTAATTCTCCCTCCAAAGTATCATATTTTGATTATCATATTGCACATTCTAGGTTCATATTTCACTAAAATTTGAAATACTCCAAAAACATTTCATAGTTATTATTATTTTGATCGTTGGTCAGCATTGTTACTTTATAGGTGTCACAATATTATTTTATTGCATTATTAATTATTTAGTAAATGTCATTTACTATGTTATGTTTCATTCTTGTTTTTATCTCTGTTCCTTCCTGCTTTATGCCCGTTTTCTAGCTTCAATTTGATTTTTGATAATTTTGGAATGAATTTTTTATTTCATCTTATTTATTTATAGTAAATAGAATCATTTCATTGTTAAGTAGCTTTTTGGGATTACCAGTTTTTTGATTATCACAATTGTGGACATTAAGCATGGGCTAGGTCCCATGATGCATGACAAGAGATGATGTAAATGTTTTTATTTTGTTGTATTTAGTAACAGGTTCCCATTAATATCTTTTGGAATGTACATATCCCCTTTCCCGCTAGAGAAATTTATTCATTTTTATGAGCTAAAAGAGTCTAACGGGTTGTAATAAGGGCAAAAGGTCATTTTTATTCTTTTGCTGTGGATGTTACAAGCAGCCACACGCTCACTTGATTTTTCATTCTTCACAGGCCCTAAAGAATTTGCACAACAGGGTAATTTTACTTAAATCTCTATTTTGTTAGCATCTACAACCATCCAAATCTGTAGTAATTTACTTACTTGAATCTCTATTTTGTTTTATGGTGTTCTAACTGTACCATTACTCAAGTGCTAATATCATCTCAGCTTAGTTATTCATTTTCATGCATTTGTTCGCAATTAGTGATTCGTGCATATTGTATGGTGTGGAATTGAAAATTGTGCTTGCTGCAGGGGAATTCCAAAGATGGCTGCAAACTACAGGTTCACAATGGACCAAAAGGATATTGTCAGGTTATTGGTAACAACTGTAGGAAGTTTCATCCAAGATCGACTAATTGACAAAGAACAGAGAGCCAAACATAAAGAGCAGTGTGCAGAGCGATTAGCAGCTGAGGATGGAAGCTCTCACAAAGACAGAGAGGTCCAGTACTCTGACCAGGCGGTGTTGGCCAATTTGGACTGGGGCATTGAAGCCCTTGAAGAAGCTATCAACACCTCCAATATGGAAACTAAACTTGCACGGCTAGACCATGCAGAGAAGATGCTGCAAGTTTGTGCCTTGTTGAATTCTCACCATACAACTGCTGGTGTTCCTAATTTCTATCTTTCTGCATGGGCTCATCTAAACCTTTCATATCTTTGGACACTGCGCAGCAATGTCCATAATTCAGTAGTCCATCTTCTTGACATGTTTATTGTTGATCCTTTTTTCTCCCGGATTGATTTTGCTCCTGAACTTTGGAAACAACTCTTCCTTCCACACATGAGCTCAATTGTTGGGTGGTATGCCGAGGCAAGGCAAAAGCTTATGATGGAAGTAATTCCTGATTCTTCTGATTTGTCTTTTACTGCTGATCTAAATCAATGCTTCAATGATTCTTTAATCTTCTCTATGAGGCCGGATCAAGTGGAGAAACTGCAAAACCTGGAGCAACTTTACAGAGAATACCTGGATGAGAATACAAGGCTTTTTGCTAAATATTACAAAGACTGCATGAATTCTGATCCAACCTCTGCCAAGAAGGTCATTCCAATGTTACCCATTGCAGAACCACCGGCAACCCCTTTGCATGAGGTAAGTCGATTCATACCCGAGTTTGTAAAATTTGGTCCCATCTTGCCTAGGAGTGCAGGGTTTTCTCCAATTATTCAAGCCAAATATGCTGCGAGAGAAGCAAGCAGGTTAATTGCCACGCTCTTATCTGATTGTATTTATTTTCACATGAGCAACTATTAGTAGAATATTTGTTTGTCTTCATTATCATTTTGAAGGGAAAGAAAAAGAAGATCCAAAGTTGTAGTTTAAGGCTTCTATTACTGTACACTAAAATTGACATTTGCTTTACACAGAATGAACACATCAGTCTCTGGACAGAATCAAGACGAGTCTTCTATTTGGGATCCACAAGTAAGGCTGGAATGAATAACCCATCTTTGTATTTCTATTGACAGGCTTGATTTTTCATGTATCATGTTGTGCTTACTATACTTCTGTACTTCTGAAAAATCATGACATTTGGTTGCTATTGTGCCTGATGCCAGGATAGCTTGCTTGAGGAGAATGAAGATGAATTTGATTTCAAGCCTAATGATGAGAATATGGATTCTGAAATTAGAAATCAAGAGCTACTATCTCCTAATGGCATGAAACTTTTTGATGATCACGAAACTGGGTCAACCATGCAGACAACTAAATTGAAGAATCAAAATCATTCCCCAATGACTTTCTCTCCCATGGATTTTCCTAAAGCTCCATCTATGAAGATTCCGTCCCCAAAACCAGACATGCATTGCAAAAAGGGATCAATAACTGTACTGCGCCTTTTGTCACGCCCTATTGCAGATTCCAACATTTCAACCTCCTTACCTGCATCTCCACAATTGAGTAATGACTTCAGTGTTAGCTCAGCAGACTCAGAGAGTGAAATGATTGTATGTTCAAGGCTTAAAATTTAGTTGAATACATCTTCTTTATATTTGCTATTTAAAACTGAAATGGTGGATTTTACTGCCACATTTTTCTTGTCAAACAGGAATTTCAGACAATTTGCGGGAAAGACTATGTTGGGACAAGGAGTACAAGTTATGAGCATGTGAATATCAAAGAATTAGAACACAGGTCGACTAGACTTATTCTGCAAATTATTTCTCTTAGAAAATTTCATGGAATCCCCCTTAGTAAGGGGATAGAATGCTCTTATAAAGTTCTACGAAAATTATTTAAAATTTTCCCCATCCAATTCAAAATTTCCTGGATTCTGCAGTTCCCTTGTTGGAAGTGATGAAGGAAATCAAAGCTGCATTTCCCTTCCCTTGTCTGAGAAGACTTCACGAACAAGACCGCCAAAAGATTTTGTCTGTCCTATCACAAGCCAGATTTTTTATGATCCTGTTACCCTTGAAACCGGTCAAACATATGAAAGAAAAGCAATTCAAGAATGGATAGATAGAGGAAATACAACATGCCCTATCACTCGACAACCTCTTTCTGCAGGTGTACTGCCCAAAACAAACTATGTCCTTAAAAGACTTATAACCTCTTGGAAAGAACAGTATCCTAATCTTGCTCAGGAATTTTCTTATTCTGAAACGCCAAAGAACTCTTCTAATTCACCCCACACGAAAGAAACTCCATTATTTACCCCTCCAAGAAAAGCCTTCAATTTTCCTAGTCATAAGATCACAGATGATTACACTAATCAAAGGACAAAGCGATTTACACAAACAGCAGTCTCGACATCCCCAACCAGTGTGCTATCTCAAGCTACTATTGAAACGATAATCAATGGTTTAAAACCTCATGTTTCATGTGTATGTACTTCGGAAAATTTGCAAGAATGTGAAGCAGCTGTACTATCTATTGCCAGATTATGGAAGGATTCAAAGGGTGATCCTGCTATTCATTCTTATTTATCTAAACCAACAATTGTAAAAGGGTTTGTGGAGATACTATCTGCATCTCTGAGCAGAGAAGTTCTCAGAACAGTCGTTTACATTCTATCGGAGCTGATATCTGCAGATGAAAATGTTGGGGAGACTTTAACCTCTGTAGATCTTGATATTGTTTGTCTGGCTTCTCTGCTAAAGAAAGGACTAGTTGAGGCTGCTGTTCTTATTTACCAGTTAAGGCCAGAGTCTGCTCTGCTTTCAGCATATGATTTTATACCTTATCTTGTCCAGCTAATCCAGAAACAAAATGAGTTGTCGGATGACCTTCAGTTTGTGATGGAGCCCAAGGATGCTGCTCTAGCAATGCTTGAGCAGATAGTGATGGGAGGCGATGAAAACAGTAGATCCCTTAATGCCTTAAGCCTTATTTCTGCTAATGGGCTTCCTGCTCTAGTTAAGTGCCTAGATAATGTAGGAGGAAAAATCTCTATTCTCTCCCTCCTTTCATGTTGCATGCACGCTGATAAAAGTTGCAGGAACCTTGTAGCAAATAGATTGGAGGTGTCTGCTGTCCTAGAACTGTTTCATGGTGGAAATGATTGCGTGAAAGCAATATGCATAGACTTTCTCTCGCAGATAGTTCAGTTGAACAGGTATTTGTGACTCTTTACTTACTATCCTAATACCTTTTTCCTCCTTTTGTATATTTCTATTATGTTCCCATAAATTGATTGTGCAGAGGAAAGGAATTGTTATTTTCATGGCTTCATCCATTTGAATTTCTTGGACAAACCAAAGGTGTATATGAAAAATATGCAATCTATTGGAGGGGGGGGGGGTCAGAGACTCGAGCGAGATTTGTTTTCTCCAGAAAAAGATGGAATATCTGGAACAGCACTAGCTCTTGTCCTTGCTATCATCTTGTCCCAAATTTTTCTTTTGTTATTTGCTTCCAGGATGAGATCCTATTGACTTACATGTTGAATTTTATTGATTAAACCACTACTGCAACTGTATATGGTTTAAGGCTTAAATATTGGATTGATATCTCTGTTGGATTTTCTTTCCTGTGATATTTAAATGCCTTCTGATTGAACTCATTCTTAAGTGAACTATTTGTATGACAGAATGTTGTTTGATGCACTTTTTGTTTTTTTTTTTAAATGCATAAAAATTACTTCTTCTGATGTTTCAGGAGGATGATGTGCAATCATATATTGCAGAAAATTAAAGATGGAGGAGTACTTAGCACCATGCATGCTCTTCTTGTGCATCTTCAAACAGCCTCCATTGAACAACAACCGGTCATTGCTTCTCTCCTTCTCCAGCTTGATCTCCTGGTTTGTTTTCACTTTTTAAATTCAACTGCAAAACAAATCGATTTAGTCAATACAAGTTTCTAATGCAGAAGTATGATATAGAAGCCATTCACTATTTTGACACTAATTTTCCAGGTTGAGCCCCACAAAATGAGCATTTATAGAGAAGAAGCTATAGAGACACTGATTGAAGCACTTTACAGAAGGGACTTCCCTAATTGTCAAATGAAAGCTCTAGAGGCTTTGTTATCTCTTCCTGGTCGTCTGACTTCATCAGGTTTGTCCTATATTGAAGCTTGGTTACTGAAGATTGCAGGGCTTGATGAAGCATATAATTCTTTAGTGAAGGCAGAGCAACCAGGGAAGAGTGACAACCTGACAGAAATAATGGTATGTCTAATGCGTCTTCTCTGTTGTTATGGACCTTGTACTCAAATAAATTTGGGGCAGTCTGATCTTATCGCTTGTGTTTAGGAAGAAGAGAAGGCTGCATTCTTTTGGGAGAAAAGAGTAGCTTTTGTCCTTTGCAATCATGAAAATGGTTCTATTTTTAAAGCTTTGGAGGAATGTTTCAAGGTTAATTCCTTAGAGATGGCAAACTCATGCCTTATAATTGCCACGTGGCTCACACATATGCTGTCTACTCTTCCTGATACCGGTGTTAGAGATGCTGCTAGTAAATCTTTGCTTGGCGAATTTATACATGTTCTCCAATCATCTAAAAATCTTGAGGAGAAGCTTTTGGCAACTCTTGCTTTGAAAACCTTTATTAATGATCCAGGTAAATTCAACCGAGGAAACCTTTTTCATCAAATATCTGTTCAAATATGCCATTCTAATTAATTCCTAACCCAAAAGTTGCTAAATCTTAGTTGCACTTGAAGAACTGGGAAAATATGCTAAGTGTATCTACAAAGCCTTGAGAAAACTCAAAAGAAATTCAGCTGTAGTTGCTGATGTGATAAAAGCTTTGACGAACATGTCCTCTGTTAATGCAGTAAGAGATCACTTGTATTCTTGAATGTTTCCTACAAATAATACAAATGGATAATTTACTGTAATCTACATTCTGGCTTGTAGACAGAGTTGTGGAATTGTACTGAAGTTGTAGAGTTAGATTCTTGCGGAAATGGTGAAGTTTTATCATTGCTTCACCTGAAAGGCCATATTTTCAGTAGTCATTCTGATGGAACTATAAAGGTACACCTATAAAAAATACTCTCTTTCCTATACTTGCCTAATAGGAACTTTAGGTGCATTTAGATTTTGATTATTTTGTAAACAAAAATAGGGAACAATTGTATTTCTTTAGGTTTGGGATGCTGGAAAGAGGGTTTTAAGGTTGATTCAAGAAGTTCGTGAACACAAGAAAGCTGTCACTTGCCTCTATGTTCCAAAATCATGTGACAAGCTCTATAGTGGTTCCTTGGACAAAACGATCAGGGTAAGGCAGTTGGTGAGCTTCTTAGTTTTCTTTCTTATCTTTTTTTTTTTTCAAGAAAAAGAGATATTCTTGGTGATGAAAGTCTTCTATTATTTTAGATTAATTTCTCTTAAATGTTGACTGAACACTGTTATATTCTCATTTATTGTCATTCTCCTGCTTAGATGGAAAAGAATAATGTTTAAGTTCTTGTTGATATTTTCTGTCTAATTTAGTTAGATGCAAAACAAACAATCGCCACATAACTTTGACTAGGAGTTTTTCTAATAATTGATTACTCCATTACTGTGTCTAGCTAGTCCCTAGTTCCTGTCTGATGTTTCTTAGCAACTGGACTTGGATACCTGCCTATAAAGTAAAGTAAATGTCTCATCTTCAGGTGTGGGCATTCAAACCTGAAGGAATTCACTGTGTGCAAGTTCATGATGTGAAGGAGCCAGTACTTGACTTGACAGCCAATGCCAAATGGGCCTGCTATGTTTCTCAAGGAACAGGAGTTAAGGCAAGTTCATCCTTTTCCATCTTGACAAAATATAACTAACTTGCAGGTGTAGAGGAAAATGTTTATAGCGTCGATTTTCACAGGTATACAGCTGGTCAGGGGTGGCGAAGCATATAAATTTCCATAAATATGTCAAATGCCTTGCAATGATGGGGGATAGTCTATATTGTGGTTGTTCTGGTTACAACATCCAGGTAAACTCTTGCAGCTGAATTCAGAAGATTAGGCATTATCTTGAAAAAAAAAAGTTAGACCATAGCAGGAGAACAGCAATTCTCACATGTTCTAAACTTGGAAAATGACAGGAAGTGGACTTGTGCAAATTTACATCAAGCACATTCTATTCGGGAACAAAAAAGTTGCTGGGAAGACAAAATATCTATGCCTTACACATACATGATGGTCTGCTCTTTGCTGGAGGCTCTGCAGTTGATGGGACAGCAGGAAAGGTATGTTGGAAAAGTTTGGATTTATTCGATTGGTAAAGTTAGATTGTTGTATAAATGGAAAATATAAAGTATAATAACCTAGTACTATATTCCCCCATGTTTGAATCCGGGTATATTTGAAGTTGGAATGACTTTGCACATGAAAGGTGTTCTGTCTGTCCACCAAGGCAGTACGGGGTTCGTTTTCAAGTGGATTAGACATCCAACGGATGGCTATAAACAATGACTTGGTATTTACAGCAACAAAAAGTGGAGAAATTGAGGTTTGGTTAAGAGAAAGAGTAAGCAGGGTTACCTCTATCAAAATGCGAAGTGGGGGACATGCAAAACTTACATCTCTGATTTCTGATATGGATGGAGGAATGCTTTATGCCGCCTCCTCTGAGGGCAAAATCCAGGTAAGTCAGCATGACAACTTATATTCATCCTAGTTTTATTTTCCAGACAGTTGACAAAATATGTCTTGTAGTTTGATTAATAACTCGATTGCCACCCCATACTTAAAATCGGTTAACCATTTGACCACTTAAACAGCAAGCATACCTATAAATTCAAATCAAATTCTCTTGGAAGTCCATAAACCAGCTTCTATTCAGTTGTGTTTCTATGGCAAAGGGAGTAGAGAGAGAGGTATTAACAGATGCTACTAGTTTCACTTTCCATGGATGCTAATACTGGCAACTTCTCCTTTGTAAAGAAACCTTACCCCAAATTCTCAGACAGCTTTATTGTTTGTTTTTCCATATCATGAATCTGGTTACTCCTTTATTTATAGCATTTGCATTACTTTATGCAAGTTATTCAGTTCCAAACAAATTCTTTTGCAGGCCTGGGCTATCGACTAAGCAAGTGTTGTTTCTTCATAATGATAATATCGTATATTCAATGTGAAGGACAATGAATCAGCAGACAATAGCTCCTGAACATGTGTGGATTATAGGAGTGTTTAAACACATTTCTAACACTGTCTTTGTCTTTGATTCAAGTGTATTTTACTTCTTATTCAATTATTACATAATTATTCAGTATGCAACAATTTTTTTAATTCAATATTCGTAAATCTATATACTTACATGTCATGAATAAATGCAAATTCCTATAACATCTTTTCTTTCGTTTTTTTAACCTAATTTATGTTTCGTCCAAACCTTTTTTTCCCAAGAGAAGTTAACCCATTTACTGCTGATCTCAATCGGAAACCAGCTTCTTCAAGAGAATTGAAAACTAAATCGACCAAATCCCTAAATGCATTTACAGCCAAAAAGAAGTAAAAACTTAAAAACATGGTTGGCACTCAGAATGAAAAGGACTTTTTACAAAATCTTTAAAGAAAAAAAAACATCATTAGATACCAATCAATTCAATTTAGCTATCCTCATTGTGCCATCTGAAACACAATTAAATCAAATCCTGAAAAAACCAAAACAAAAACAATTTCACAATACTTAGACGTGCAGATGGAAGAAAGGAGCATTCAGAATGAGTAGGAGGTATTGAATTCCTGTCATCAAACGAATCGGAATGATTTTAAAAGAATCATCACCATGCCCCTTCTTCCATCTTCTCTAATTTTCGTCTATCGAAGAATGCAAAAGAACATGAAAATGAAAAGAAAGGAAGGTAGAGTTAAACATGAGATGAAATCATCAGAAGATTTGGATGACTGCATCACTTGATGTAACTCAGACGACCGTCGTGAGAAATTTTAATCCAATCTCATCATCTGATTTCACCTAATCACCTTCTTCGATAACAAGACCGCAAAAGTAACAACACAGATCCATGGGGAAAAAAAACAGATGTAGAGATACGGGCGTCCCGCTACCGTGGCGAAAGTAGATGTGACTACCCGGAAGCGTTTATTTATAGGCAGAAGCGCTTAGGTTTATATGAATTAGGGTTTTCCTCATTATTCTTATTTGTATTGTCCATTCTGTCCCTATTGTTTCGTATTATTTATAACTTTAAACGGGGCCGTTGAGTGTCACTATTGAAACGACAGCGTTTCCGTTAGTTCATTCAATCAAGCAAAACAGATGCGTGTATTAGATTTTCAACCCCTTGCAACTGCCAACTCCCAGTGCCCGGATCCACCGCACTCTCAGCCTATCCGACTGTTCGCCGGACTTCGCTAGATCAACATCAGAGCGAGAAGCGAACCGAGCTCTTGAAGGATTTCCTGAAGACCATGGCTTTTGAAGGATTTCCTCCCTTGATCTCTGCCCAACTCCATTATCTCCTAAATCACTACCCTCACATCATCAAGGTGACTCAATCATCGACTCCCGTTTATTTAGCCTTTTTACATTTTATGTATTGCAACTAGAACTCGTTTAGAATATCCGTTTTCTTTCCTGTTGTTAATGATTCAGCTGTGAACATGTCGAGATATTTTAGAAACTAGGGTTTGGATTTGTAACCCTCTGCTGTTAGTTTTATTACTGCTATTAAAGAAATTGATTCAAAACTAACTTTATTAGCCTTCCAGATCGAGCAGGTCTGGTCTGGTAACAAGTATTATCCTCGGGTTCTTGATCGCTTCACATTGGTCATACCCTACTGCCTCGACACTATTAAATGTCGGTCACGTTCCCATCTCAGCTAGTAGTCTTTTCTCTCTCTTTCTGATGTTGGCGCTGATAATTGTTTATCACTGAAAATTTTAGATAATTTGATATGATGCAGGGCATGTTATATACAATTCAGAGTACCCATTGACTCCACCAGATGTCATATTTGGACCTGAAGATGAAGATTTCCATCCATTGCAAGTGGCTGGCAGCGACCGAGAACAGGATGTAAAGTCAGTGAAGAAAATTTTGTCTGACTGGAGCAACAAAGACCCAACAAAGCTATTGGGTCTTATTCAGGAGCTGAGGTTGGGGCTATAATCATTGGCAATTTCTGTTTCTATGTTAAATTTTTCACACAGCGAGAATGAAATTAAGTTAACTTTCTTAGGGATCAGTATATGGCTTACCAGAGGAGGCGTGTTGGTGAGGTTGACGATGATAGGTTGAAGTTTGAAATTAACACTATTTTATCTCGGGAGGTAACACTTGATTTCTTTAATGGTCTTTGGTACACGTAGGAATTTACTCTGTTCTTCCTGAAGGAAGAACTAATCACTTCTTATCACATTGCTTTTTCTGTTGTTGCTGTGTTTTTTAAGTCTTTAAATGGGGGATGACAAGAAGGGCATATGTATCGAATTTTGATTTTATTTTTATTTTTGTAGAAAGCTTGATGCTTTTATACTATTAAACACAATGTAGGAGAATAGACAATCTGCTTGTTATGAATGAGAAGCTAACTGCATGGGTGGGCATGTAGCAGTCGTTAACTTATTTGTGGATACTACTTATTTAAGGCAGCTTCTACAGGGCTAAATATGGTGGAAACTCCAAAATCTTCTAGCATAATGAATGATTTCATAGTCCCTTCCCCTTCTTAAGTCATGCAGTAGCTCTGAAGAATTGCCAAATTGTACCATTTTTCAATTTTCTTTCTGTCTACTAAGTCTGTTGATTTGCTGGACTAATTGAGTTCATGGTGGTATATAGACCTGGATCTCCGCAAGTTGTATTTTGAAGTTCAAAGTAGATGAATGATAGTGATTTTTTCCTTAAGTTGACATTCATAACCAACATCTATGTGCTACAGGGAATTGAAATGCATATGAGTTCAGGAGCTGAAAAGGTATTATTTGACTGGAACTTGTTTGATTCTTTTTTCTAAAACATTAAGAAACATTGTGTGAACTTATGAATTGCAATTGGGACCATTTGGTACTGCTTCTGATTATATTTATGGTTCCTATGCCTTTGCTTTTTAGCGTAGCCAGTAGAAGTTAAGTTTGCAGTACCTCTACTGGAGATTAACATAAATAAAATGGTACTTGGATGCCCCTGGAGGCATCAGCAAAAGATGTACTTGCAGGTTGAGTTTTCCTTCTTTGTAGCTTTCACCAACAGCTTCTGTCTTTCATATCTTATCATGAATGATATAATTTTTGTACACTGCAGGTTATATATCCTGTTAATAGGAAATACACGTCTGCCCCTTCCGCACCTCGTTTGAAACTAATGTCAACTTTTGATTTGAAAGCTTTATTTTCTGTTGATGATGTTAAACTTCCTCCATGGATGGATGGAATGTAAGTTATATGTCTTCTTATAACATGGTACATCTAGTGACAACATCCCTTACTTCGCTAATTCTTTTCTTTTTATCCTCTCCACAGGTGCATGGCAGAATATCTTCCCCATCTTGAAGAAACTCTTGAGAGACAGGTAATCTGCATTTCCTTTAATCTCATGAACTTGTTTTCTTTGTCCTTTTCTTTATCTTGAATGTTGATGATTTATATGATTTTGATGTATGGAGTACCTAATATGAATGTCATATAATGTTCACACTTTCCAGGTCTTGGAAGCAGTCTCACTAATTGATGTTAGGAGGCATTTTATAGAGGCATTAGCTCCTCTGTTTGGAATGCCCCTGGAAGCTGATCCAGTATGCATTCTATGGTTTGTGGAAAAAGAAAAAAACAAACTTTGAACCATGAAGATTGATTTTTTCCTTTTTTGCTTCTTTTGGCAGGTATTTTGCAGAAAGGCTACGTTCCTTGCATCCTCCGGGACATTTGTATTCCTGGTACTTTACATTTTTTACTTTTTTCTTCTTCATAATCAGGAAGTTGTTTCATAAAGTAATTTATTGCAAGAATATGAGTAACAAAGTTGGCATTCACTGGGACTTGGATGTATGCTTGAATCAAACTGGTTTATTTAAGATAATTTGCACTTGTTAAATACAGTGAACTTTTTTTGTCATTGATGTCTTAACTTTTTTTTTGTTTGTTATACAAATAACTCTTTTATTGTTTCATATGATAATTTTTGTTTTAATTTGTGATGCAAGATGAGTAGTGGTTAAGTAACTTGCTGTGGGTAAATTTTAGAAAATGATAAAATTTAGGCGAGAAACAGAAAGTATAGATAGGGCAGAGAAAATGTAGATCACGACCAAGATAGGAAGAAATAGATTAAACATGATTGGTTAGAAGAATGAACAGAGAGATATGGTAAGGAATAAACCGTAATAAAAGAATTTTAAATTCATCATTGTCTACTCTTCTCTTTCTTGGTGGCTGCTAGCCTTTGCATACGCATTAATTACAAATAGTAAGGAAAAATTATAAAATATAAATAATAAAATATTCTTATTCGTATAATACTTAATATCTATGTAAATAGGAAACAAAAGTATTGTAATGTTCAAATAAATCCAAATAACCTGCGATACCTTAAAAATACAAAAGAATAATAAATTTTGTACAAAAATTATCAATTTAAAATCTGTTCCAAAATAATATCTTCGTGTTCTGCATAGTTTAGTTTCTCTTTTTTTGGTCTTACTAATTTGTGAGATCAATTTCACTGTAGGTGCACTTTTCACTCCCAACTCAGTTTCCCAAGCAACAGCCTGCTTTGGTGCTCCAAAGCTCTCAGGTATTTATTTCTTCCTCCTGCTCTGCAAAGCCATTGGTGTAAAGGGTACAAAATACCTAGATATTCTTGTAAATGAAACAATTGTTATATGCTGTGTCATCAATTCTACTCCTGGTTATTTACCTGGTGGAGATTAGGTCGAACAAATTTATTTCACAAACTTGGAGCGGATCAGTTTGCTGTTTCTGTATCACTCTAAAAATGGTGATAGAAGACATCATTTTATTTGTTTATGTATGTCAATCTTCATGTTGGTTATCCTAAAAAGAAAAAGAAATTTGTGTTGATTGAACCAAATTTTATAATGCTGATACTGAATTTATGTATTGAATGGCTGCTGCTAGTATTCAGTATCAATTGCCTAGTTGCACTTGAAAGTCTAAAAGAGCAATGAAGGCTTATGTGTATTTTTTGTTAATAAAGCAATTTAAAATGGACATGTAACTCACGGGACTTGATGATGATCTTTAATATTGTAGCATCTAAACTCTCCGGGAGCACCAATCAAGTCAAATATTCTGCAAGATTATCCATGGAGTCCAAGATGGGACGCAGCGAAAATGGCGGAGCGGATATTGTAAGTTGTCTCTGTCAACTAGTGTTATAATAGTGAGTTGTGTTGGTGATGGTATTGCTGATGGGGAAAAATTCGTTGTTTTCAGTGATTTTGTTGCGGACGAGTCTTTGAACTTCAAAAGACAATGCAATGAAGCTCTCCAACACTAGTGGTGGGTATGAGATGGGAGTGGGTGAGCATTTTTGGAGCCCAGCCTTGGCCTTGAGGAATTAAGATTTGTAAAGTTGATTGGCAGGGACCAAGTGGTGATGAATTTATGACGGTTGATTAGTACAAAAAATTTGTCAAATGAAAGAGGGGTTTGTTGTATAATGCAATATGTACATGGATTATGATGGAAGTATATGAAAGGAAGATAAAAGGAAAAAGAGAGGCAAATTTCTGCAAATACAATCATTCATCATTGTGTTTCTCTTAAAATGATTAAAAGGGTATATTTCCTTTTGGAATCAGAAATGTAGTTTCATTATGAAAGTTCTTGCTTAGAGATGAAACCAACTCTTTCTTTATTTACCCCACCGTATTTCACACGGTAAATTTTATAGGAAGACAATTTAAGTTAACCCATTGGGAGGTAAAAAAAAAAGACAAGCGTAAAAATTGGGTGTGACATAAAATTTACTGTTAGTTGCTGGCTGTCGGTCTCCCACCTTGGCTGTCTCCAACACGACCCTCAAAAATATCCAAAACTTCCGTTATTACCATCTTGTCCCTCCCCTTCCCCCCCGCTCTCCCCCTACATATTACCGCCTTCAGCGCCACCATTCATTACATTTCCTTTCCACCCGAACGCCCAACCAAACCCTAAACCATTCTCCACTTCCTAACCAACCATGAGAGAGATCCTCCATGTCCAAGGCGGCCAATGTGGCAACCAAATCGGCTCCAAATTTTGGGAGGTCATCTGCGACGAGCACGGTGTCGACCCCACTGGTCGATACAAGGGAGACGGCTCCGCCGATCTCCAACTCGAGCGCATTAATGTTTACTACAATGAGGCTTCCGGTGGTAGGTATGTCCCTCGCGCTGTTCTCATGGATCTGGAGCCTGGTACCATGGACAGCATCAGATCTGGCCCCTACGGCCAGATCTTCCGCCCCGACAACTTCGTCTTTGGGCAATCGGGTGCCGGAAACAATTGGGCGAAAGGTCATTACACTGAGGGTGCGGAGCTCATTGATGCCGTTCTTGATGTTGTGCGAAAGGAGGCTGAGAATTGCGATTGCCTCCAAGGTATATATCGTTGTTTTTCCCTCTCATTTTCCCTTGCGTCTAATTTTAATATTGTTCTCTTTCAACGAGTCTTGAACCTTACGCTCTTCCTCGTTCGTGCGTTTTGTAAAGCACAGTGGTTTTTCTTTTTTTTTTTTTTTTCTGCTTTCATATCCTCACGTTTCCTGCATTACTCAATTTTCTTTTTTTCTGTTGTTCTAAGTTCTTGTTTCTTTATCCCCCAAGTGTCACGCTGTTTTTGCCGATCTTATCATGCACTGGATTAATGAGAGTGCGTCTATGCGGAGGCTTTCTACGTAATTGTTTCAACTTATAATTTTATGGTGATAGCCTTTCAAGAGAATAAAAGTAGGAGATAAAGAAAGCAGATTTCCATGGATGAAAATACTACAAAAAGATCTTGAATCCGGCATGATTTATTGAAATACAATCGTAAATCTGAGATATAAAATACGAAAACTAGCCAGCAGCAGGATTCCTATTTCTCTGGTGGTTGGGTTCTCTTTGTTTCGTTGGTTGGAATATTTTTTAATAATGAATGCTTGTAAGGTATGAGCTGGTATCACTTGAACTTGTAGGCCCGTCTATGTCCGCTCTCTGTTTTGAAGATACTTGACGACACTCACAGTCCTCTTATCTTTTGTTCTACATAATTATATAAACAAGACTCGGTGCCACCACCTTTTTATCATATCCTGATTTTGACCGCCCATCATAAGATTTTATTTAAGCACCGACAATTTTTTCATCTTACCAGATTCATACTAAATGTAGATCTTAGTATCTTACCGTCTTCAAAAACTTTTTTAACTGGTGGGTTTAACCTGCCCTTTTCCAGTATTGCAAAGTTTTGTATGTGGGTTTTTTATATTTGGGTTTTGTCGTAATAGAAATCAACCTGTCATGAGGATAAGAAATTAGATAAAGACAATAGTGCCAATAATAACAACAGCAGCACATGCTTTTTTCATAGCCATGTCACATGTAGTTTTGTTTTAATGGATATTTTAACAGACATCAGCGAGGATCAGATCCTTGTTTTCTCCAATATTAGTTTTGATTGTTTTGTTACTGAATCATTGTCAAACTATTAAATCAATATCAAGCCCGCATCGCTAGGCTTTCATCCTCGTGAAGGCAAAGAATTTGTGTATATATTAGTGGTCAACAATCATTATCATCTTGTGATTTGATTAGCACTTGTGATCCGATGTAATTATCTAGATCTAGCTGCATCAATAAAAATATTGAACGGATTCTTTATAATGATTTACTGAAAGACCAAATACATGCAAAGAACCCCCAAAGTGTTAGGGAGTTCAGAATCATGTTATGGACTGTATCAAGCCCCTTCAAGGACTAGGATCCTACAGGAAGCATGGGCTCACTATTGAGCTTAACGATTTATAGCAACTTTTGCTTTTTGTGTGCGTAGATGAGGGGCAGTATCAGATGGTGAGTGCATACAGACAACCAGCTTGACTTTCTTTTCATACTAGCAAGGGGGCTCAGGAGAACAATTTATTTATTCATATATCTTTTTGAGAAATCCTAGGTGCTGGGGCTGGTGCTGGTTACCCAGTAAAAAAGGTAATTGATGAGAATAACTTGTCCCTGTTGCTTTTGGGCCAGGTTTCCAGGTATGTCACTCACTTGGAGGCGGCACAGGTTCTGGCATGGGAA